TTATAACGCACAGATGCACAGGACTTCATGTTTTTGCAGCTGCAGACAGTAGTTCATCCATTTCAAAGGCAGCAGCATTACAATTGTCTACTTACTCATCACTGATTTTTTTATGTCCTGATTACACCAGAAGCAATGGAGTGTTGATGGATGTGTGTAACAGGGATTAAAGGATCAAAATCTCTCTTGTACTCGTGCCTGCTGTCCTTTTCTTCCTCCTCTCCTCTCCAGTCTATGGCAATCGTGACAGCCATTGTGTTTGCAAGGCTTGTACATTCCCTATGATGAGTGTCAGATCTGACTAAAGATCTGTCACAGGAGAATGCGGTGTTTATTTATTATTACTGCTTGTAATATAGGGATTATAGAGCCCAAGCACAGAAGCAGAGGATGTTGAAAAGCTCTTTCCACATTGCAGAGCGAAGCTCTGGAATAAAACTGTTGTTCAGTTGTTGGAGAGGAAGAAAAGGAGTGGCTGGAGAGGCAGACAAGTGCCAAAAACTAGGAGTTCCGAGTGCTACTGAACAAATGCACCATCTTTGCAGATCTATTGCTGAGACCCCCGTCAGTGTTTTACCAAAGTACTGATAGTTTTCTTTGAAAGACAAATTAGTGAGAAACAACTGCTAATGAAGGAAAATAAGCTTGTATCTCAACAGAAAATGAATAGCAGGGTTTTCAAAACTTGTAATCATGTCGTTTATCATAGTTAATTGGGTTTTGCATCTGAAGTTAGGTTGCTACACATGATTTGTATTAGTAATTCAAGTTTGTTAAGTATTAATGATGTTTGGTGAAATGCAACTTTCAAAGACAGTTTTTGTCATCTGATGTAAATTTCTCACTAGATGTGGCAAAGTAAGGAAGTAGGATTTACTCTAACAGTAATTGTAATCACAATGTTTTGCAGGCATATGTGTGGAATAATAATGTTTATATAAAAGCTTCACCAACAGCAGAAGCTGTGCAAATCACTGAAAATGGCGAAGAAAATAAAATTCTCAATGGAATACCAGATTGGGTTTATGAAGGTAACTCTGTCAAGCATATTTTACTTTGCATGATGATGTAAAAACTTTGTTTTGTTGTAATTATTTTATTATAACTGTTCTCATTTCTTGTCCTTGAGAAGTTCAAAATAATCTAAGTCTGGATTTTAACAGAAGCATGCATCCTTACCCGAGCTTAATACCAGGCTAATGTGAAGATCTAAGAACGGAAATGAGTTCGCCTAACTTGCAGCACGTCACTGGAAATCAGTGTGTGTGAATTAGCTTCATATGATAGATTATAAGCATTGATCTGATGTCTCATTTCAGAACCCCAACAAACAGTCTGCGCTTTGGTATCTGAACTTCAAGTAAAAAAAAAAATTCTATTAAAATCTAATGAGAACAGTACCTAGGATAGAAGAGCCAACTTATCAATTATATCTTAAATGCGTTTGTCTCTCTTGCAGAGGAAATGTTTAGCAGCCGTTCTGCTCTGTGGTGGTCTCCAAATGGCAATTTTGTGGCATATGCAGCATTTAATGACACAGAAGTTCCTATTATAGAGTATTCCTTTTATTCTGATGACACCTTGCAGTATCCAAAGACCATTAGAATCCCATATCCCAAGGTCTGTGTTATTTATTAAACATAGTGGTTCTGTAGTTTCATTAAGAGAGTAGTCTTGTTTAATCCGTTTCTCCTAATGAAAATATTATCTGTCTCTCCTCAACAGCTTGCTGTGATTACTCTTTCTGAAGTCAACAGCATCTGGCAATGTTAAAGTATTTCATTATGTCCAGGGGAAAGCAAAAAGGAAAAAAAAGTGTGATTTAAGGTTTTGTTGTTTCATCAGAAAATTTTGAGGTAGCAAGTAGATGTTGATATAAAAAAAGCTCTTAGGGAATTGAAGTTGGTAAAAGGCACTTGGCAGATGTACATTGTGTTAGGATTGTACATGGTATCAGTAATGGAATTGTAGCGTTTTTAGTTGTTGAATGGATCCTTTATTGGGCTGAAGGGGAGAAGTCTGCTGGTGGAGTGTCTTTGCCCACAGCTGAAGCTCTTTCAGTTTTAGCTGTGAGTGAAGCCTTTAGTGCATGCAGCTCCTTCTCCTCCCTGTTCCTCTCCCCAAGACTTTGTGCCCGCTGCTCATTGCACAGTTGTCACTGGACTAAATGGCGTGAGAGTCAAGAGTCCAATACGCTTCAAACAGGTTCTTTCAAATACTCTATACATGGAGGGTTTAATGTTTAACACAAGATTTACCTTGTGAAGTTATTTGATGTTACACGGGATTTTGATTTAGCAGAGTCATGCAGCAGTGCCCTGAAGATACAATACAAGTACAAATTACACTTAGAGTAGAACAATTGCACTGTGCTGCTGAATTGCAATACAAACGTGGTTCTCTTTGCTGGTCTCCCTGATGTCCTCACGGCCACAACACTGGGCATCCCCCTTGCCGGGAAGGAGTACATGGGTTGAAACCATCTCAAGCCCATTGCTTTCTTCAGTTCTTTTGGTTCACTGTTGTTTTTTTTATACTCTGTGTTGGGCTGAGGCACCTGTGTGTCTCTGTCTCCCCATGCTGGCCTGGCCAGCTCAGGAAGGGTTTTTCACTCTTTCGATTAACCAGGGCAGAGCAGCCGGTACAGCTGTCTGATCGCTCAGCTGATGCAGCTGTTTGCCTGGTCTAAATGCCGCCCTCCGGTCCTCTGTGTGCCAAGTATGGCTTTCTCTGCAGCAGCCCTGGTCAGTCACCCCCTACCCTTCCCAAAGCTTCAGGAGCACATGGCCTTTGCCTGTCCCCGTGGAGCCTCCCCCCGCGGGGTGACTGATGCTCACGGCGAGTGGCTGGGCACACTGACAGCCGCAGGTGCTCTGCCCACAGCCCGGCACCTGGGAAGAGACACAGATGTGGAGTGAACTGCCAATTTAAATTGTGCCTTTTATTACAAACCTCTTTTCTTTGGAATATTGCTGACTTGTGGAGGTGAGTCAGCTACAGCTACCTAACCATTATGAGGAGGATGTGGCTAGTTAACTTCTAGAGAAGAAGCCCTTACTGACACAGTTATATCGCCGTAAGTTCCTAGTAGCACTGCTTTAAACGTGCTGCAGTCTCAGCTTTGATTGTGGTATAGGCAGCTATTATATGATCACTTAACGTAAGGTATCAGTTTCCATGAAGAAACACTTTTCTGTCTGTTAGCAATGGATTTGATTCACTGTTAGATACTGTGCGTGGCGTGTGGGATGAGACATGGTCAAATACTGTTCTGGGTACAGCAAGCCCTATGTGATTACGAATGTTTCTAAATGTAGTAGTCTTTCTTATCTAGAAATACATAGCTAACGCTTTCATGTAAAAAAAATACAAAGGATAATTTATGTATCAATCTTAAGAACTGCGTTTAGGAACTTGTCTTTTCACATGTTTGAAGTTGGCTGGTTCTACCTGACTGTCTGTAGTAATTTCTCGTCTACAGTTTCAAACACTTATTTCACCAAGAATATTCTCTCTTCAAAAGTACAATAAAAATTTTTATTTTTAGGCAGGAGCTACAAATCCAACTGTGCAGTTCTTTATTGTGGATGCCACGTCGCTTCCTGCTTTCCGCTCTGCAGAAATTTCTCCACCTGCAGAAATAAAATCAGTGTAAGAAATTTTGGTTAAACATTCACTTTTTTTCTTTTGATGGTAGAGGAGGAGCTTTTATGTGTGACCACCCTATATTTCGTGTATATGGCAGTTTTTCCCAGTCATGCGGCTCTGGTAGCAACAAGATTTACCAGAGAAAATCTGCATGGAGATTATCCTGCTAGTGATTATATATAGATGTCATATTCCATGTATGTTATATTCAGAATGTGACAAGTTCTTGGCTCATCACATTCAGTGGAGTCTAACTATGGTGAAGTCATTTCACAGTACAACTTTAATATGAGCAAGTTTTGGTATAATCAAATTATAATGTATGTGTTCCAGTTCACTGGAGGGGAAAAAAAAAAACCCACACAACAAAGCAAAACAAAACCTTAATGATAAGTGAAGATTTGATTTCATTGGAAGCAGATTCCTTGCTAAGGAAAGGTATCACGGTTGTCTTCAGATTTATACTTAAAATGTTTGTTTTCTTTGGAAACATGGTGAAAACCAGCACCTCTCACAGTAAATGGAAAATCGTATTTCTCAAAATGCTACTGGAAATGCACAACATGATATAAATGTATTTTGTAAAGAGCAACTAAATTTATTTAAAATGCATGCACACAGAATTGGTATCCCAGATCTTGGGTTTTGTTTTTTCTTTTTAACAGTATTGTGGACGTTTTTTAGAGGTTTGCACTTACAAACATGGTGGGTATGGAAGCACAGGTTGTACTGATAAACTTCAGAAAAAAAAACAAAAGAGGTCTGTTAGCTTGTCTGTAAAACCAGCCATTTATATGTGGTGGCCAAAAAGCTGTAACTGGAATATCAGCGCTGTTCCATTTCAGTCCTCACCACAGCGTAACTGACATCTCTGTGTTAACCGAGACATGCAAATTTTTAGGAATATGTTGTTCTTTCTCCTTTCTGTACAGTAGAACTGCAAGAGCTAGATGCAATATAGCTGTTGTGCACTGTTTTTCTCCAGAATTTCAGTGCCTCAGAATTATAAGCCCTTTATGTTTTGGTCAGTTCTGGTTAAAATCCCTGCTGTCTTAGAGCTATGTTTTACCTTTTGTGAACTCCTAATGAAAGCTGAACAGTGCTGCCGTGTGCTCTGGGGAGGATAAGTCGTCTAGCTTCCAGCCATCTACCCATCTGACTAACACAGGCCTGAGTTACCTGGACTCAGTCCATTTTTAAATAAATGTAACACTCTTTAAATCATGATTAATACAAAGATAAACCAAGTCTTAAATGATCAGTGCAAGGATCAAAAATTACTCTTTCTCCCAACGTCTGATCCAAATAATGGTGTGTCCTGCAGGCATTGAGGTGGCCATAGCGAGTCTTCGGGAATTTTGCAAGAGCAGAAGTACATGAGTAGGAAGAGGCAAGCGATGTACAGTGTTGCTGTTGGGTAGCTTTGCTCCTGGAAGCACAAAGTAATGAATATTTGCACAGTATGAGTATTTATAGCACTGTATGACAGCACAGGTTAATTTTTGTGGTGCTGCCCATCCAGAGCTCGTTGTACGCACAGCAGTTGTACCCCCACATTTGAAGGGGGCACAGCGCACTTCTGTTCCAGAGGGAAAGTTTTATTATTTGTCCAGGAAAGATGCCAAATTCTGGCGTGGCAGTGCTATGCCATATAAGATGATAGATGAAACCTGACACTTTTTGCACAAATGACCAGCATGAAATCCATACAGCGTTTGAACGCCACTTTTGGCATCATGGGTACAAGGGGCTCCTGTGGATGCTTGTTGTCTGAAATTATCTCTCCTAAAAATAAGTCATCTTTCGAGTAGAGAGCTCCAGACAGTGATTGCTGGAATATCCTGTCTCAGCAGCAAATGAGGAAGGGCAGTGTAAAACTACTATTCTCTGTACTTGAGTTAATTGCAGCTTAGTTAACTTTTCATGGCTTGTAGAAAACTGAAGGTGCATTCCTAGTCTCTATAATAACCATAAAATATTTACTGTGTTATAATAATAGCATAACAAATAATATTTTTTTTCCCTTGTACTGTCCATCTTGTCTAATGGATGATTTAGAGGCTCCAGAATTGTGGGACTAATTCCTCTTTTACAAAACAAGGGAAACCACTATTATACGATTGTATAATGTACATGAAGAATGGCAGGGTTTGTGTTTTTTTTTTTCCAAACAAGCTTCTGCAGAGTGCTTTTATAATATTATTGGTCTAAAACATAGTGTTTGAAGCCAGTGACAGTAGCAATTAAATGAGCTACCAACTTCCTAGCAAATATGAATATGAAAATAGACCTTTTTTAAACATGATTTCTAGACTGCAGTCTAGAAATAAACCTGAAAGTGGTCAGTAACCACTTGGCATATTTTTTAATCCATCCACACTAATTGTAGTGCTTTGTTTTCCTTTTTTTCATCCTTCTCCCCTTTCCCCCCAAAGATCATGAAGATACTCTCATCACAAAATTTCCCACAGGTTTTTGTTAACTAACTTTGGGGAAAAAGGGAACATGAACTTGGAACTAATTCAAATGTGCAAATTCCAGTTAAAAATGTATTCTTGCCTTGGAGGGGAGGTTTGGTTTATTTTAGTTCATAAGGCTTCTAGGAGATAGGAGAGATCTAAAATAAGAAAAGACAAGTACATCTAACAGGTCGTAATGGTAAACAAAACCGGTAAATTTTATGTGATGCCTTAAAATTAGTATACAGGAACATTCATTAAAATTATATTTTTTTCTGATACTCTGATTCTTCATGTCAAGTAGTTGGCGTTCTGAAGATGAAAGTAAAATTTTGAAATAGTAATATCTGTTCTTGGTATGATCTCTCCCTCCATTCTAACTAATGGAAATAAATACTAATTGAACAAAGATAGGTATCACTCAAAGTGCTTACAAGCAACAAACTTCATGCTTCATTCAGAGTTCCAAAATCTAAGGCCCATACAGCTTAATATTCAGAAGAGTTTCCTCCAGATGCACATAGTACAAGATTTATGAACAGTCTGGAGTAGTTACTATCTTATGCATTAGGGGATAGCGATCTGGCTGTTAGAATTTAATTGCAGTCTTTCTGGAAGCGGATATGTGCAAACTATCTAATTCTTTATTGTATGAATGAAAATAACCAAGGCATCTACTAGCAGCAAAACCAATTGGCAAAAAAAAAAAAAGGCAGAATTAGATTTGCATCATCGTTTATTGTTGAAGAGTAAATTGAAATGAAAATAGCTAGATGAGTCTCATTCAGTGAATTGCCGAATGCTGTCGTATTGTGTGCTATTACAGAGAGGATTTTAAATATCTAATGCTATTGCTTTTTTCAGGGATCATTATTTGAGTGTTGTAACATGGGTGACAGATGAAAGGATCTGTCTGCAGTGGCTCAGAAGAACTCAGAATTTTTCAGTCCTCGCAGTCTGTGACTTTGAAAATGCTACTGGAAATTGGTCATGTCCACAGGTAAGAGAAATGAGGTAGGAGAGTCACAATGCTTGATAAATGAGACTAGAAAGGAGTAGAGTTATCTCTGTATGTTTATCTTTGTAGAAACACAGCCTGATGTAAAATAAACATAATTGTTGTGGGATTGTTTGTTTTTTCTTTCTTAGGAACAACAACGAACGGAAGAAAGTACAACTGGCTGGGTTGGCAGAGTGAGTGTTCAATTTCTAAAACTGCCACATGCTAAATAACACTGATAATTAAGAAAATTTTATATGAGCCTCTTGCCAGTTGCAACGCCTCTTGTGTGCAGGTCTGATCCGCTCACTTGTTGCATTTTACGTGTATAGGAAAAAAACGGTCTCAAATGGAGCCGCAATGCCTCCTTGCTCCTGGTTTTAAGCTGTTGTGGGTATGGGGTTCTGAGCTCCCAGGCTGGGCTGACAGGGGAGCGTGGGCTGGAGCTGTAACTGCGCCCTCCCTCACCCGTGCCTCATGTTCAGTTTGCCAAGAAGCAGAGTGCTCCTTCCAGACTCCTTTTTAATTCTGACCTGCTGCTTCGGTAGTGGTAGGTAGGGGAGTGCAGGAGCCAGGATTCAGAATTCCCTTTGTTCTGGGGGAGCTGTCAGCTATGCTGGTTTGGCTGCTTTCCAGTCTTCCTGCCACCTCCAAATGATCTAGGGGATAAAACATATTAAGAAGCATATCCTGTAACCTTCGAATCATGTTGGAGGAAAGGCGTAGAGGACAAAAGTCATTTTTAGCATTTCAGGTTGCAGCACACTGTTCCACGTTCTCCTTAGGGCTTTTTATTTATGCGTTTTTCCCCCCACCCAAAATATCCATTGAAGTGAACTGGGGACAAGATGCATATAACTGACCAGATTAAAATTTTCATACACTTCTGCCAAACCAATTGCTACTGTCTTGGATGATGCTTTCCAAGCTGCCTCTCAGTCCTTTTGTACATGGAAGAGAGTAGGCACCTAATGAACTACACAGAAGATCTGGGGGAAGTGAAGCAGAGATGCAAAAGTTCAGACTTGGAGGGAGAAATGAGTTTCAGAGTTTTTGATGAGAACACAGAGTACACTTTCCACTCCCGCATTTTCCACACACTGATTATGCTTTAGTCACTAATTCACTTTTGAAGTCAAAAATGAAAGTTTAAAGAAATGCAAAGAGGGAGGCAACAGCAGGGATGAAATCATCCGCAGTATGAAGATGAGAGATCAACCCACCTGCTGTCAAATTTGATATGGAAAGGAAGGCCTTAACGCTGACACATTTTGCTTCTCTGCAGCAAAGGCTTCACAATTAGACAATGTGATGATCAAGCTGCAGACTTTGTAAACAGTTGTGCAAAATGAGAGGGCAAAATGCGAGTCTGTGCCATTAAACTAGGTTGTTGGTTTTTTGTTTCTTTTAAAGAGACAACCCACATCTTAGGAGCTGTTGGAAGAAAAAATATAATCTCACTGTATGATTCTTGGATTTGAGAAGGGAGTGGAAAGTAGGGAGGACTGAAGAGGGGATAGGAAAGGTATATTTATTCCTTTCTTTTATTCTTATTGGCTTAGGGATGAAAAAATGATAAGAGATATTTTTTTGTATATATATGAGAGATGTATGTACACACATATATATGTATATGCAATTCATATAAGTGTATATACAAGTGTAAATAAATTATATATGTGTGTAAAATATAGACATACACTTCTCTTTTCATATATATCGCTAGTGTTTTTTTCTTTTTTTCAAAAACAGAGATGAAATTATACTTAATCTAAGAATGCTCGGAACAGCCTGTGTTACTGCGTAAGGCTTCCAGGTCATGAGCTAAGTTAGAGCTTGCCAGTTGAGTTGAAGGAAAGTCACACTTTGAAAAAGCACGACTGCGATAAGGGAGAAGCTAGCAAAATATTTGCCAGGTTATTTTTTGCAAAAATATTGCTAGGAAAGAAAGAGATTATCTGGAGCACATGGGTTAGAGAGACTCAGGTTCTGTCATTGCATACTGAGTGACCAGAGGCGAGGAGCTTTATCCCTCTGTTTCACTTTCCATATCAGAAATGGGTATAGCATCTCAGAGGTAATTGTGTTATGTCAATGGGCTAATTAAGTTTAGATGTTTTGAACATTTATCACAGAAATAACTTTCATTTTATTTGGCTCAATGTCATTCCTCTGTTTTTCTCTCTACCATGTGGAGCACGTCTAAAAGTCAGTCAGTAGAAGGAATCTATTCATTTCCATCACTCCCAATTGATAAATGGATAGTCCGTTCATGAAAATATCATTCCAGTATGGGTTCTCTGGCATTCTGTAATCACCTCCTTACTAGTGAAATCTCCTCTTGAGAAGCACGTTGTTTTCTTTGAATAAAGGGGGACATTTTGCACTGTCAAGCTAAAGAAAATAAGAGTTCAAAGAATTTGTTCACAAATAAATATTTTAAAATGGGAAATTGAAGGAAAACATGTATTTGCAATGTTTACATTGTTATAGGTTACAGCTGCATGTTGGACAGAATTAAACAGTGACTTTAAAAGTAGATGCACGTGTTATTTTCTAGACCAGTAGGAAACTAGGAGCACCTGTAGGGCTTCAAATTCAAGAGAGGTGGGAGAGGACATTAGTCATTACCAGCGCTAATACTCAGGAAATTCTGCTGCTTAAAGAGCAAGAAAATATTTTAAGTGTGTTTACTTCTAAGGTAATGTCTACAGGTTCTACCTACTAAGTCAGTAGGCAAAAATTTTTGCAGTATGTTCAGTGATGCCTTGTTTTAAGTACTGAAACTCCTGTTTAGAGAGATTGAAACCTAAATTTTTGGATTTGGAGTTTTGTTGATTGCTTTAATAGACATCTCTCTTGTGTTCAAGTTTCAGCCATCTGTCCCTTACTTTGCACCCGACAATACTACCTACTACAAAGTCGTCAGCAATACAGTAGGTTACAAGCACATCCATTACATAAATGGCTCAGAGGTAAGTAATAAGGTGTGGGACAGTCACTGCTGACTTGTGTTTCTCCTGGTGGTGATTGAGGAGCTTCACGTTCTACTTTTTGCCTCGCCTTTTCCCCCTTCGCCAGGCTCCAGTACCTATTACTTCAGGAAAATGGGAAGTAACCAGCATAGAAGCTGTAACCAATGACTTTTTGTAAGTATTGTAATTAAGCTATTTATTCCTATCAGGAGGGCTTGTGGCAAGGGTCTAAGCAAGCAAGGAGGAAGAACAGGGAAAAGGTGTTATTTAACTCATTAACAATCTGATCTAAACTTGTGAGATAAACCTTTAAATATTGTAATGTACTGTAAATATTTTACCAAAACCGGTATGTTTTGCTTTTATAGATACTACATTAGTAATGAAAACAATGGAATGCCAGGAGGAAGAAATCTTTATAAGTAAGAAATTTCTTCTGCAGTATGAGTAAAATACTTGTTGATGAAAAAGAAATGTTAAGAAAAAGCATTGCAAAATAAAAGATTAGGATATTCACAGTCTAATGTGGGATCCTATATAGGATATTTAATAAATATCAGTGTAGGAGTATAAACTGTAAAAATAACTATAATATTTTTCTGTAGATTTAGTTAATAAAGGGAAATTGTGAAAAGAAACAACCAATCCTCAAGCAACAAAAACCCCTAAAGAAAACCTCTCATGCTTTTTTTGCTATGATTATAATTCCAGTATTAAGTGAACTGAAAAGTTTGAAGTCTGTTTTCTGTGATTTTTAAATGAGGGCTTTACTCCTGAATTTTATCATGCTTCATTTGGTCATTGTATTTAAAAAGCATACATTTGTTTTAGCATAGCTAAAAAAAAAAGTCATCTCTGAAATGAAGCTCATCTACTTTGCAGAGTGCTCTTGGAAAGCGGTCCAAATTCTACTGAATGTGTTAGCTGTGCTCTGAATCAAGAAAGATGCCAGTATTATTCTGTGTCCTTCAGCAAAGACTTACAGTATTATCAGCTAAATTGTCATGGTGAGTATATCCAAATTAATTGACATCAACATGACTCACTGATCAGTTGAGTGGGCAAGTTCACTTCGTAAAGATCTTGATGTGCGCTGTGTAACAATGATATGTGTTGATATCATTGAATAAATGCATTGGCAATGGAAAAACATACTGCCTCCTAGGCTCAAAAGCACCTTGACAAAAATTACAAGGATAAAATTTGACCTTTTAACTTATCAATGATCCTTAAAGAGGTGACAAAAACGCTCCTGTCCATTGTGCGTCCCCTCGAGCTGTGTGGGGAGCTCACTCTGTAGATGGAATTTGGAGGCTCTCGGAGCAAGACAAGCAACAGGCTGGGTAAAGAGAAGTGCTTTGTGTGTGGGAATAAAATAAAGATAGGTGGTGCTGTTCAAGAAAAATCCAATGGACATAACAGTTAAGCAGTGGGACTGTAGCCTGTCTCTGACCTGTAAGTGCTTGTGCTAAATAGTACGAGGGATAAAATAATCAGAGAATGGGAAAAAGAAAATCTTCTGTAAAATTTCCTTTAAATTTAAATGTATGTTGTTTTTTAAGATGCCAAGATCTTCCTTGATCTATGGGCTCAAAGGACAGATAGGCAGCAGAGAGGGAATTGTTCTGTCAGGTTGTAAAAATGGCCATTTGACAAAGGCTGCTGTGGTCTTCAGGACTGCTCTGAGAAGGCTTACCGACTTCCACGCCATGGTCCACAAGTGGACTTCGCTAAGAGTGGAAATCTAATTCTTCTGTACCTCACAATCGTGTGATGCGCCTGTGAGACAGTCTGAATATCTTACGGAATCCTGTGGCTTGAGTTTGGGCCCTACTGTCTTACAATCCAGCTTGTGCAGACTGGAGGGAAACAAGTTCGGAGCTTTTATGATTCACCTGCATCCAACTGCTTTACGAGGGTTGTGTTTTGAGACAGCATGAAAACATGAACGTTTCGTGCTCTGTCAACAGGTCCTGGCCTGCCCATGTCTACTCTGCACAGAAGCAGCGATGATCAAGGTATGGGATTGTCTTAAAATACAATTTGTGTCGAGCCATAAAATTGCACTGTAAATTTATTTTAATTTTGTTCTCATTGCTTAGTATAATAATTAAAATGTCAGTTATAAAGGGTAAATTTAATTTCAGATAATTACTCCAGTATAGTTAACCAGAAGAATAAATTATATGGCTTGGCATATGTTTATTCATAGTTTGTTTAATATTATTTTACATTATGCTAGAAAACAGTGAGTAATGTATGACTTATTTACTGGGTAATTGTTCAGTTTTTATGAAATTGCATTTAGATGAAAAATGTGGAAACCAGCTTTCTGGTTACTAAATTACTGAAGGGAAACTATATTGTAAACATTGAATATGAGAGGAAAAACAAAAACTGCAGTAAATTGAGACTGCAGTGTAGGTTGCCATCATCTCAAACTGAATTTTTAAAGCGGTTCATAATTAAAGAGAAACGCATTTGAAAATAATATATTTATTCTTTGGCTCTTACTAACTCTGTTATTTAGTCCTCAGATACCTGGAAAATAACACTGAACTGGAAGATTCATTGCAAGATATTCAGATGCCTTCAAAAATATTTGGCTCCATTAGTATAGGTGGATACAGTAAGTTCAAAACCATGTTTTATGTTTCTCTCTCCCTTTTCACCACGTGCTTCAAGGTCTTCTGCTGAAGAACACTACAGAAATTGGATGTAGTGGGTATTATTGCCGTTATTTAGCACTTAGAGGCAAGACATGATTTTTTTTCAGACATCTCCAAACATTTCGTTTTTTTCTGAAATCCCAAAATACTATCTAAAAAATGCTTTTTCCGTAGTGTGGTATCTTGATGTTTTCATGATGAAGTGGCTTAACTCCTTTTTTCCTTGATAGTTACCTGAAAAACAGAAGTCCTTAATACCACCATAAATAAATAAGAGGAAAGAGGGGATGGGGCACAAAGCTTATAAGCATTGTTGAATTTAAATTAAATCAGAAATTCCAGTAGGTCTTAATTTACAGGTACAAGTCCCTTTGGGTTGTGCTAGCAGGTAGGGACAGTGGAGGAGAAGTTCAGTTGTTATCGAAAAACGGGCAGAAAATCAAATGGAAAAGCTTGCAAAATCATGTGGGCTGCATTTCAACAAGATCTCCTTTGGCTCTGTTTGGACTGAATAGTCGTGTTCTTAAAAGCACGTTCAGGCTCCAAGACTACATAAACCTGTGAATGCAGACTAGAATGAAATGCTGGAAAACGCACTGCTAGCGCTTTGCTTGCTTCAGGTGTTTGTCTGGGTCCAGAAGCTCTCTTGGCGCGCTCCTAGGCTGAGGAACGTCCGATAGACAGGCTGTGGGAGGGCTGGTACCTGTCTAAACCTGTCCTTGCTCCAGCCTTTGCTACTAGCTTTTCTCTTCATGACACACTTTCTCTTGATAAAATGAATGGATATTTATAATGGAACTATATTTTACAAACAGTATTGAGTTCTGTCAGTCACTGCTAATTGTTCTTTTTGATGCCTCCCTCCTTCCACTGTTACCTTATTTATATAATAACTCTATCTTCCTGTTTTCTGTGTTTTATTTCTGTCACGTTTTTACTAGGGCTAAAGAGGAAATCTTCCAGGCAAGATGGAGGTTTAAAGATGTTCTTCATGCTATCAGTTGTATATTCATCTTTTTATTCCTCTTTGTTCTTACTACTTCATCTCTTCAGGGTAGAAGTTTTTGGGTAAGGGGAATCTATTTTTAACGTCACAAATAGGAGAAATAAATCCATTTATGTAGTCCTACTTCAAGCTCCAAGTCTGCTCACAAATCCGTGTATGTTATCAAAGAAGAAATCTGCTCCCATGACGATAGAGTGCACAGATTATGCAAAAACCTAAAATTAGTATTTTCATGTGTTTGATTTAGATTGCTAATTTTTCAGTGTTTTAATGTCTTACATATTCATACTTGGACAAATTTCTCTAAGACTTGCACTCTGGCCATTGTTGCGGTGCAGTCCATCAGCATTGCTCCGTGCTTCCTTTGCAGCATCAGTTCTTTTAAAATTCATGAGTGAACAATCAAGCCAATCGGTTTGCAACAATTACATGGTGTGCATTTAAAATGTTCAGCTAACTCTCAGCCAACTTGGGAGGTAATATGGGTGGAAAGAGAACATGGATAGAACCAGAATCAATGTTGCTTGAGAAATAATAGATGTTTCAATATGTTTCTGGGAAGCTTTACAAACTGTCATGCAAAGCCTCTCTGGCAGGTTCAAAATATTTAAAATTTCTTTTTGCTGCTGGGAGAGAAATTTGAGTAGAGAAACATTTTTGAGCTTGTGTCAGATTTACCACTGTAGAGACTTAGCAAGTTTTACATGTGAGGTTATAATGTAGAATAATGTTACGAGACAGCATGTTGAGTCCCAATGTTGTAGTATTATTATTATTATTTTTTATTATTATTATTATTATTATTATTATTATATTGTAGACATTCCAGTTTCAGACTTTCTGCTAACTTAGCTGTAAAAACATTTTAAAAAAAATAATTATTAGATTAGCTAGGAACTTTTACCTGTATACATTAGGATAGCTCAGATGAAACTACTTTTTAGTTTTTAGGGGGTGTTTCAAATGTGCTTTTGTATGTATTGCAGTGCATGTAAAATTATTTCACTGGAGAACTGACCTAAGTCAAACTCTTTTCACTTTTAGACCTGTGGTATCAAATGATATTGCCTCCCCATTTCGATTCATCAAAGAAGTACCCTCTGCTCATTGATGTGTAAGTCTTCAAGTTACATGGCAGTGTTGTGTTAATAATCACTTTTCATCTACTTCAAATGCTCTTAATAAGATCGGGAAACACAAAACTGGCATGTTTTCTAATTACTGCTTGAAGTAATTTTAAGAGAGAATGAAAAAATTAGGTGTATCCCTATTTGTGATAGATTCTTGTACCATAAGATGATGTATTGCTTAACAAGCACATATTTTAGTGTTCACTTACCTCCTTCTATGCTCTTAAGAGTTCACTGGGAATAATAGTCAATGAAATCACATTCCAGATTGAAACCTTGAATGAGCTGGATATCTTAAAGCTGAAGTAGCGAGTGTGACGTTGAGTTTTCTCTGTGATATTTGGCTGTCAACTGGTGTTGGCAAACTGTGTCCTGTGGTCAGGATTGCATTTGCTGTTTTTTCATAAATTCAAGACCATGAGCTTGTGCCATTTGGTCCGTTCTTCCTCAGACACTTCTGTTCATGCTGGTATGTTTTCTTCTAACTGGAAATTAATGAAATTTAGCTGTTTGTTAAAATAGAAATGTTAACCTTTTCCTCTTTTTACAAAGAACTAACTCCACAAGGAAACTAGCTGTTAATTGTTAGATACATCTTTATATAATGTAATTTGGTAGAACTGTTAATACTTTTTGATATGCCTATTTACCATTTTAATGAGCAGTCAGTGCTCTTTGCTGCTTAAGACTTACTTTGGTTTTGATTCTATTTTTATTGACTTTCCTGGGCCTTTGTCAGGATCACCTCTGCTTCATGGTGATCTTGATATCAGAAATTCTTTCAGAAGTGTCAGAATCTGTAGCTTGATACATAGAGTTCCTAGTGGTTTTGTCTTTGCTTTTAAAACTGGGAAAAATGGGTTACAGAGCCATAAGAAC